ATGTATGTACATATATTTCTATGTATATCTATAAATGTCTTTATCACATCGTACCTTCCAAACGGCTGGATAAATTGCGACAGGTAAAGTATCGTTTGATTTGTGTCAAAAATCCAGGTGTCCTTAGATAGGTGTTTAAAAAAATGGCGGATTTTTGGCCCTAAATTATAAGCCGTTATCAAAATAAAGATTTTTAAGAGGCAATCAGAAAAATATATTTAACTAATATTTTTAAAATTAATTTAGAATAAAAAATTGTTAAGTATAACTTCAAATGTCTAATTGGCAAAAATTAAAAAGCTATATTTAACATAAACAAAAAACCCGACTGCATAAAAGTTAACTAAATAGATGTCAATAATACTATATTCTTTCGTCAACTTGTTTTCATCTTTTTAGTTAGATTTTATGCAGTCGGGTTTTTAGAAGTGAAAACTTTTATAGGCAGGTTTGATGGGGAGTAAATTCATGTAAGTCGTCATCGACATGGTCACGTGACATGTTAACTCTAACACTCAGAGTGCCGATCGATGTCATAACGAGATAAATGTAAACAGTTTTAATTTACAAATTTTAATTTAAGATCAAACAATTAATTTGAATATCCAAAAATAGCAACTGTTTGTTTATAGTTTTAAGTTTTCACTTCTTTCAGCATTCCTCATGACTGATTTTTTTTATTTTAATAATTCCTATTGTATTTATACGCTTTCCATACAAACAGTGTACGGTGATACTAAACAATTGCTATCTCCAAGAAATCGGTGGAAACCAGAGGACAAAGTGTTGAGTTACTCTAGTCGATAACGATAAGCGTATGGAATATGTGACTTTTATTTTATGTATAATTTATACCTTCAATAATCTAAATATATTTAGTTATTTATATTTAGCAAAATAGATATCATTTTAGTATCTATCTCTACATAAAATCTAGAAAGATTAATATATAAAATGCACTCAAGATAATAACTGTATGTATGCAAGTACTATAGGAAGTCACGTAGCGTCCGTGACCAAGGTCTAATAAGTTTATCTTGTATCAACTGGTACGTGCTATAGTAAAATAAAACATATATTATAATATGAAATATAATCATGGATAAGTATTTTAAAAAATAAAAAAATTATACTTCTTATTTTTGGTAAAGTAAATAATAATATGTAGATGTTATGTGATTGAAAGAAAGTTTAATTTTCAAGTATCTAATGTTATGTATAGTATTTTCAATTAATTCCAATATTATTATTATTATTTAAAAACATCTATCCTTAAAATATCTTTAGATATGACCTGTTGATGTTGATGACCATCTGTTTATAGCAAAGACTCTACCATGTCTTATACGAAATATTTTTAATAGGTACCAAGGAGCTCTTATTGAAATTCAAAGTGGTGGTGGTGATTTTTAACACCAGAAACAACTTACAAGAATTACGAACTGACGAACGACTGCTGATTTCATATGATGCTTCATATAATTATGAAATCAAATATTATATAGCTGTATTTTATTAATTTATATGTAATGTTTCAGAAGTAAAGCGATAACGCACAAGGAATAACTTCTAATATGATTTCTCTGCCAAGAATGTAAAGGAAAAGAAAAACTACTGAACATTTAATAGTGCCAAAAAATCATAAAATCATTTTAAAAATATGTGTATAGGTACTATTTCAACTGCTTAATAATTAACTTGCACCGCAAGCGAAATGCAGATTCTAAAAAACATGCAACGAAAGGACAAATATATATATATGAATATGAAATAGGTAAAAGAAAGAAGAAGCCATTTATACTATATTACGTTGTTCTAGTTTCTTTTTGGCGGATGTGGCCTGTCTTATAATTTCATCCGAGGCATGCCAGTTATGGTATACAAATTCTTTATAAGCTTAGACCTTGGCCTGCTCTTATTTCAATCATTGCAATCGTATTCTACATTGCTATTTTTTTAGTACTGAAGACTCAATCAATGTGTTTATTATTAAATTATTAAGGTTATAAAATAGAAATAACGGTATAATCTATTCTATATATGTAAGTTCATTTATTACATTTAAGGAAGATATGTTTTATGTAAAAATATTGTAAGTACCTATAAACAAATTTTTGATATTTTTTGATCAAATTTTTGGTATGATAGCTTACATATTTAAATGGTCATTGTATTTATGTTAGATGGATAGAAGAGTGCTATTAGTACGATGAAATTACCTGACATTAAATAGGTACAATAAAAATATAGTATACAGAATTTATATATATGTAATATATACAGAATATTCAATTCCTTTAAATATTTACTTCTAGATATATAAAATATAAATTTTTACTTACTACCCATTGCTTTAAATAAGGTATATCAAGTAAATTTTTAATTTGTTTCATACTTAGTTTAGTATTTATTTTTATAAATTTACATGACTTAATGTGGACAAAGCAGAAGTGCAGAAGTAGACTGAGGAAGGTATGGACAAGAAGAAGAAGAAGTCTATATTACTTAACTAAGTATTGTAGTACCTAAGTACTAAGTTACGTGTTTATCATATAACAAAAGTTATCATTGCAGGGCAATTGTAGATTTTAAGAATTTTCGTGCAAGTGGTCCTAAAAAGAAAATGTAATAAATATAAAGATTTAATTTGATTTAAATCAACACTATATTTTTATTTACATACAAATAAATTTAATAAAAGTTGAGAAGAAAATGTGTTTTTTTTATTTATCATTATAAGGAGTATTTTTTAAATCATAACGACATTTAACTTTAAAATAATAGATATTTACCAGATACGCTATACGAGCTTGTCAGAGCAACATATAAATAAATGAAAACAAAGATAATGCGGAAGAATGAAGGGTGATTAATACCTAATTCTCACAGTATCTGTACTGAATTCGATATCTTGATTTCACGCCACATGATAGCCGAAGACAGTTTGCAATTGTATCTCTAGATAAAGTGGTAACGACTGATAACTATAACATGACAAGAACGTTGATATAAAACACTAACAAAGTCCATTACAATTCAAATGGTTATTAAAGTTTTCTGATAATTGGAAAATTAAATTTTTAAGCCCTCATATAAGTAATAGGAGAGTTAAAACGAACTAATACTAAATTACATGTGTTATAAATAAATATTTTTGTACGTGTTTGTGTCTTTTAGAAATAATATATTTCGATTTTTATAGTAAATTACCTGTAACTAGTATTCACTGGAAGCGTAATCATTAATATCCTCTTACCAATTTACAATAGAATATACACATTTTCCTTATAGAGCCATGTTCTGCTCTACCCGTAAAACATGGTTTTACGATGGTTTGTTTTTGACAGCAGATAGGTAAATGTCAAAATAATAATTTCATAAATCAGTTTTGAGCATTTAATCACGATTCACGATATTATAAACTCTAATTATATTTTTTCCAACAAAGTACATTTATGAATAGCATTAAAGTAACAGTGTTACACTAAAGATAATAATTACATTATTTATAAATAAATTATGTTAGTTGTCATGACAAACAAATATTTACTAGGTAAAAGCGGAAAGATCAAAGAACTATGATGAGTTCCTCTACCTCTTTGCATGATCCATACATGAAAATGCATGATATGGTTAAATAAAAATGATACGCAATTTTCTTTTAGGATTTACGGCTCTGCTACGTAGAAAAGTACAGATAATATTATTTAAAATATTAAAATCATTAATAATTTGAAACAACAGATTTTCTGTCCATCATATTTTACGTATTTCAAGCAAGGTGTTAAATAACGCAGAAACTCGTTTTGTTTGTAAATTATTAACCATTAGTTATCAAATTAAAGCTAACATAATGGGTAATTAACTCTTGCTAATAAATGCTTTTATCAATTTAATTGTAGTTATTTAGATTTTAGGCTTGTTGGAAGCCTTTTCCTAATAAAAATATACTTAAAACTTACTTGCAATAAGATTTTTTCCAACTATATTTGGCAAGTGTATTTGACTGAACTCACTGAGTAAAATGAAAGAAACGTACCTACATAGAGACTGCAATAATTTCCATATCTCGAAAAAAAAATTTTTTGTCATAGAAATTTCAAAATAATTTTATATTAACTACAAACTACGCAAGAGGCCAACATTTTCCGTATACTTTTTTTTATTTTACGGTCTTAGGTGCTTATACGTAGTTGGCATTCTAATAAAGAACAAAAAAAATACATATATAGATTGACAGACATATTTAAGCGTAAAGCTACTGGATTTGAGCATGTCATATTGGGTTCTTTATTAGCAACATGGATAGTAGAAAATGGTTTTAGCAATACTAAGAAAGCAGTAGTCTCAGAAAGAAGTGATTTACTTTATTTTTGTAGTATCGTTTATGAAAAGTAAAGAAAAATGGGCTTTAACAGACAAACAGACAATTAGGTATGCGAGTGTTTTATTATGACTTACGGTTTTTCATCGTAATCCTAAACAAAATTTTCCCTCTAATATGATAGATCTATGATAAAAATAACCTGATCAGAAGGTTATACAACAAGGAAGACTAAAACAATTGCTATACAATTTATTAAAGTGTCAAGTAAACTGACCTAACATGGCGCAGGTCTTTTTACTCGTTAGATGAACGAATGCGCTTTAAGGCGAATTTACACAATACATTCAAATATTCTTCAATATTCAACCGACTTCAAAAAGGAGGAGGTTTTAAGGTATGTATAGTAAATGAAAACTACCAATCAGTTATTTTTTACTTTTTAGTGCTTTTGTTTGAAGTCGGTTTTTATTTTTTTGTTAAAAAGTTTTTTAAATTAGGAGTTGTTTGTGCGGTTAATGTATACATAAAAATGAATGTATTTTTAAAACAAAATAAAAGGCAATGCTCACAAGGTATTATATAAACTTGTACACATATAATGTAGTACTTTTTATTTCTTCACGCTATGTGCCTACGTTATCATAATAAATAAATAATAAGAACGTCAGTTAAAATGGAATGTCAAAATCAAGGTATTTTTTTTTGGCTTTTTCATTTTTCTATGATGGTTGTTTCGTTCAAAGCGGGCGGGCACCTTAGGGTTTTAGTTCTACCGTTTTACTTATTTCCCCTCTTTCCTGCATATATATTTTTCATAATTGTAGCACTATACAATATTTTAATGCCAAAAGCTTTTCTTTCATTAAAAAATCATCAAAAATACGTACATTAAGACATTAAAATATTAGTACAGTAAGCATTTATGTACGACAATTATGTACATTTAATACATTTAATTACAAAATCTTACCAACCCATATTATTCACATAGTACACGAATACGTATTAAATATTAATAATCATATGTAAATTGTACAATATTAATTAATTCGTTGGTCTAGAATGTCTTATATACTTATGGTCATTTTTGATAGTTTCTTTGTTTTAACTTTAACATATATCTTCTACTCATAAAATGTTTAAAAAAGGTTCCAATCAACATAGTTACCTTTCTGACTATAGCCGTGATAAATGTCAGTTTTGTAAATTTCAAAATACGGTTTTGTATATTATATAACAGCTAATAAGTATCGTTTTGCTCCTATATTTGTATGTTGTGTACATAATACACGAAGATATCCAAAACATTTCTAAAGTTATTAAAAGGAGACATTATATAAAATATCTTTAGTAAAAGTAAGTTATTGAACTAAAACTTTTATATGATATCGTAATACTAATTTTTATCCATATTTTCTTTGGTATATTTGAATATATTTTCAAATATAACAAAATACATTTAAAGTTTGTAATATAAAGTCAAGGATTAAGCATAGATTGAAAGGATGTAACTCTATCTAAATGGTCCAGGGAACGCGGGGGATAAACCCGGCGTGATTCACGCGGCGTCATTCCACTTACTATCATGGAATTTCTTCATTATCATGCTATTATGTTTTGACCAAAATTTAATACTTTTAGTTACTAATATCCGGTGTATTTCGAAGCTGATTTTTGATATATTTCGATTGCTACCTATTTAAAATATGCTGCTGCAGAATAGGCAACGCATAATGGTAACAGTGAAATATATTTTAATATCTGTATTTATTTTATTTAAATATATTTTTTTTTCTAAAAATGTTACTCCTTTATTGTTTATTATTATAGAAAATAATATAAAGTAGCATACAACAGCACATAATCGCCATATTTCCATCATATATTTTAACTAAAGGTATCAATTATTGAATAAGTAGATTAAATATCTAAAAATGCTAAAAACAATAATTAAATTACTTAATATATGACCTTTAGTTTTTAAGTTAAATATTATGAATTTATTTATTATGACACGTGAACACGTCACCTCTTAATCATTATGCAAAAAGTAAAATCATTGTTAACCGAGGATATTATTATTAATAATTGTTATTATTAATAATTATTATTTTAAAGTAATCAACGTCATTAATTTACCTCATTACTTTAGACCCAGATAAAATATACTTTAGTATAAAGCGTATTGTAGTCTTATTTATATAACCGGATGAAATGCTCTACATAATATCGTAATGCATAACAAAAGTAAGCCTTCTACATAATGGTAAGTCTGCGAGCAAGTGTAGTGAAAGAGCAACGTTACCAAAATATTTTTGTTAAATAGTTAATTACATGTTTATGAGTCATGTATAATTTGCACAAAACTTTATACTAATATAGTAACAGTACTACAACCTTTTGTGCCACGGGCGTGTGTAGGTACAAAACCAGATTTCCTTTTCAGTACAAAACATACGATTGGACAAAGGAAGGCGATAATTAGTCGTGGACAAAAATAGTCGTGCAGCCGGGCCCTGGGCCAGGTGACGTCAGCGCGCCAGGGCCGCGGCGGGGCAAGACGGGCCCCGCGCCAGTGTCGCGCGCGCCGTCAGTCTGGCCGCACGCCGCCTCGCTGCCCGCGCCCGCACCGCCGCCCGCTCGCCCCCGCGCCACCACCGCTCACCCTCGCGCACCCTCGCTCCCGACGCACCACCCGTGAGTACAGACACCCTTTTATTCCTACTTTATTTACTCATCCGAAAACCATTTTCGACACTGTGCATGGAGGTAACGTCCTACGCTGGTTTCACTTCTGGCCCACCACTCGATGGTTGCCGCGCACGCAGATGCTCTCTCTTCCTTCACATTTTACATTGAATTAGCTAGCTATTGTTTTGTGAGACCTAGATTTCTCGTGTCGGTAGTGAGGAGCGTGGCAACCTTGGCGCATCGTGCAATGCAGCGGGGACCTTGCAAGTCACGCGTCACAGTAACCTCGGCTCACGCCGTGCTCGTGCCGCTACAGTGACGTCTCAATATCTATCTTTATTTCGATCTACTACGTCGTTCGCTGCTCATTGCTTTTTTACCAAGAAAATTAAAGAACAAACGCTTGCCTACCGAGCAATGTATTATTATTTGCACGATTTCTCCACGTTTCGTAAACTATTAGATATATTCGTTCGTAGGGATGTGTTGATAGATGTATATAACATATCGAATACAAACAGCTGACCGAACGTGGACGTAGTTTTTTAAACAGATAAAAAATAAGACGCGGTCATTCAAGGACGGTCAACAACTATCGAGTGGTATTTCCCGTTTAACGGGCAGCGGAGTGAAACACAAATGACGTGCAAACGACACTAGTCATTACCGCTGCTAATGTACCTTTAAGGCACGTAGGTTGTGGGTCAGACTTCGGCGAAGTACTATTGCAGTTAAATGTGTGCAGCGTAGGGGCCCCTCAAGCGCGTTTCCCAAGTTATCGCACTGGAAAAACACGCCACACTTTATCACGTACTGTGTTCACTATCAGCTGTTGCGAGCGATGCGGTGTGCGGCCGCCAACACGGTTAGTCATTGTTGTTTACGCGAATATCGCCTTTATTGTAACCAGCTAGAACAGCTCCTATTGAATATCTAATATTGACAGCTGACCGAGACTACGTCAATCGGTATAATCTATTTACATTACAATAATAGTTATTCATAGAGTATCTTGTAGTATTATTGTTTTATTTAAAACTTAAATTATCTTTAGTTGTTTTTTTTTATAACAAGTCAAATACCCGATGAAGAAAAAAAACACAGTTTTTCTTTCGTTTTTATATTTTGCATTTTTATATTTTTTGTTATAATAATAATGCTATGATAGCATTAAATATGTAAATAAAATGTGTGAATACAGTTCGAAAATTTTAGCAAATTTACAGAAATATAATAAAAAAATATACAACTTTAACGTACACTGAATAATGATGAGCCACATTTGCATATTTATAAATATTATTTCAAAGTTACATTGAAGATAGCCTCTAAAACACCTCCAGCTATATTGCCTCGAATCGACATTGGTCACAGTTTACGAAACCGGTAGATAGGCCACCGCGCCACGGTTACCCTTCATCGAACGTTACCAGATGTCGTGTCTACTTTTAATTTAAATTATCTCCACCCAGTAACTACATAGTTGACACGAGCCTCCATTAAAACACTTGAATTCATTAACTCATTGTCAGTCTTTTATATACCCATTTATTTATTAGTTCTATTCAAATGTCTTCATGCACAATCAACAAAGTGGATTGGTAATTAGTATATTTTAAGCAAAGCCAGCAAAAGTTTATTTCAGAATAGTGGTCATGGCCTCAATATATGACAGTTACTTACGCAATAGTTCCTAAGTACGAGCTAGTATTTGGTAGGTACTTATTGTTTGTTTTATTACAAAAATATCCTATTTGTGTGGTTTCAGATAGTCATGGTACGGAAATACGAAAGAATGAGCGGTCGCCAATCCTGGAACGAAGAAGAGATGGCGAAGGCCGTGGCTGCCGTGGTTTCTGGCAAAATGGGCTACAAGCTCGCTGCCAGAACGTTCCATATACCACGCTCCACTCTACAAAGACGAGCTAGTAAAGTACGCTATCAACAACCTGATGAACCAAAGCCGTTAATGGGACACTATAGACGTGTATTCACAGAAAGTCAAGAGAAAGATTTAGTAGGATATATTAAAAGCATGGAAAAATTTTTCATGGGCGTTTCAAGAAGAGATATTCGGGAACTTGCATTCCAATACGCTGAAGACAACAATCTTAATCACCCATTCGATGTAAACACCCGTATGGCTGGCGAAGATTGGGTGAGGAATTTTTTAAAACGAAATCCTGAACTGCTTCATAAATCAGAAAAAGAATACGAACTGGAGCCGGTGAACTTTGATCAGTTTTATCACTTCATGTGTCAATCGTCATGATCATAATTTTAAACCATTTAGTCCTAATGAAGGTCGCCAACATAATGAAGCCCACCTAACGGAGCCTCAAAATGTATGAAACGGTGTATTATACGGTATGGTAGATATTAATTCTACTTAAAATTTGTTTGCACTGATGTCGCAACGTCGGACTATAAAATAACTTAACAACGGAAGTTATTAAAACTCTTAGATAATTATTTAAGACTTATTATGCTCTACAAATAGGTAATTTTAATATTTAAATTGAAACAGAGCCTGGCTCTTTTGATATTTATAGGTCATAAATTTTTCATTCATGATATTCCATTTGTTTATCTACTTAATAGTAATCATAAAAAAATTGAGTACTTATCGAACCTAACATTCTATAGTTATCACTTGTTTAGAGTTTATATTCTGTTATTTAATGGTAATCGGTTAAAGGGCTGTGATAATGGAGAAGGTGTTAGTTAGGGAACATATCAACAATGAAAAGATGAATACAATGTATAAAAATATTTCTTATTGTAAAACATCGCATAACGAGAATATCATAAAATAAAGTACCACCTGGAAAAATATGTAAGTAAATATGTAAATAAAGAGCACATTTATTAATATTTTTAAAATGAAGAATGATAACAAAAATCATTGATTGTTTTTAAATAGAAAATTGAAAATATTTCTTTTTTCTACAGATTGTCATAAAAACTCATAAACACGCATAAAGTTTTGTTCTTGAGCAATGAAACTTTACCAAGTTCCCTGTTAAAAGTATACATTGTAATAACATTAAGAATTGTGATAATGGTGATTGGTGATAGTAGCGGAAAAGTTATAAATCATTTAAATATCTATAATTGAAATTCTAAAAGAATGTAAAAGATATTTTTTCAATTTGAATAAAAGATAACGTTGTACCTTTCAACTTACCTGCAAAGTTGTTGTTACCTGATTTACGTTTTGATCTCTTAAAACTAGTTTTAATAATAAAATCTATGAAAGTATAATATATATGTATATTGGTTTTTAAGACAAAAGATAAAGAAAACATATGTATGTTTCGTGAAAAGTTACAAAACTACGAATGCCAAACTACGTTATTATTTGAGATTTATATTTAATTTGTTAATTTAAGTACTTAATAAGTTTAATAAACTCTAAAACACATTAACATCTTTTATTTTACATAGTATGGTAATCTATATAAATAAAAATGAATGTTGGTAAGCGCAAAAATCGAGAATGGCTGGACCAATTTTTATGATATTTGATTTTTTGGATTTCTCTTAGTACAAAAAATATCAGAAAAATTAACGAAAAAAAAACATTTATATGGTTAAGGCTGGCTAATAACTATTTATAACTATTAAAAACGTCCCTGGCGAGGAACCCGAGCGAAGCGAGGGTGAGCCGCTAGTATTTAATGAAACAAGAAACAAATCAATCACAACTATTACTACGAGTGTACTAGTCTCCAAATTGCTCTTGATTGAGTAACTACTAAATGTTTTACGATATTCATAAAAAAATGCCGACAGTAAGACTAAGCAAACTTAGTTTTGCTTTCATCGGTCGAGTGAATCCAAAATTATAATCCTAATTATACTCAAATCATTACCTACGTATTAGCGAAAGTGAAGCCATATTGACGGATTTTTCGTCTAAAACAGCGGCAAAAAATTTCTATGAAAACTTTTTAATGTACTGTTGAGTAAAATCTATGTAGACTAATACATATACTTGTAGTATTTCACTTAATTAGGTTCGAATGAAAAACCTATGCGCTGCCATATAGAGCGCTTATTAAACGCGAGTAAAGTCACAGGCAGTAGAAAATTTAAGCCTAACCTCACATGATGTTAAAAATTTATACAAAGTCCGCCAAACTCTGCTACATGCTTGTTTCTAAAAAAAAAGAATGCTTTAATACACAGATTCATATATACTGGTAAAAATAATTCTGAATAAATCGATGAACCAAAATAATAGATTTGAATCGTCATTTTCACACTAAAGTCGAGCTTAAAAATCAATTCCATCGAAAGGTAAATTATCTGAAATATAAAAAATGGAATTATAAGCTTTGTTAATTGTGACAATTGTCAATATATAATCATATTTAGTAGAAATATATAATAAACTTTATGTAAAATACTAAATTATGAAAAGTTCAACACAAGTATAAACTCACCAAACATGACGCTTAGAAAAATATTACGAACTTATAATATACATATTATGTGTTTGAAATCGTGCCTTAATCAGTAATAATAATTTATTTAAAGTCAAATTTTCATAAGAACGTTGCAAAATATCACTAGCGCTAGAAACTTATAAGCAAAAACATAGAACGCAAAACGATTTTGTTAAGCTCCAAACGTGCGCCTAATGACAATTGCTAAGTAAGTTACAGGCTAATCCTCTCGCATGGTAACTTGTGTATTTAGCAACAGGTGCTTATCTATACATATAAGAAAATTGTTACCAAGCCGAATCTGTACATTAAATATTTTTTGGAAAATCTTATTGAAATAGACCTTATTATCGATGCAGAGTCTGTATGTTACCGCATCACAGAAAAATCATTTTTTTATTATATCTTCTATACTAATATTATAAAGGGGTAAAGTTAGTGAGTTTGTGAGTTTGTGAATTGTGAGTTTGTGACGTTGTAGAGGAAATCTGGAATCTATGGATCTACTGAACCGGTTTAGAAGAAATTTGGTAAGAAGATAGTTTGAGAACCTGGGAAGGATAGAAAACTTTTTATCCCGAAAATCATCCCTTAAAGGGGTGAAAATAGGGATGAAAGTTTGTATAGGGAATAAACCTAAGGACAAACCCAAACGATGCGAGGGTGAGTCGCTGTATAACATAAAGCCAAAGAGTTTTTTGTAGATTGAACGCGGGCCTAGCCGCGAGTTCTGCTAGTATTTATATAAATATTAAAATCATGTTCAATTGATTGATTGGCACATGAAAATCTTAGGACTTGAATCCTTATCACTTATTTTCCAAGCGAGCACTCTACCGCTACACTTGGCCGCCACTGCTTTCAACATCATCAATCATTCAAATCCTACTAATCCTACTTCTTTTATAAATGTGAAAGTTTGTGAGAATGTGTGGATGTCTGGATGTATAGATGTATGGATGTTTGTTGTATGCCGTAATACAGGTCTCCTAGTACGGCAACAGAGGCTAACATATCTTTTGTGTCGACACAGCCTAATTTAAACTGAGCTTGAGGGATTTGGATGAAATTTGGTATGGTGATAGCTGGTTATCCGGATCTACATATTGGATACTTTTTACAGCGGGAAAATATCTCATTTGTAAGAAAATATACAAAAACTGCAATGTGAGAGTATACTAATATGTAAAATCTAAAATTTTGGTTTTTGCTCATCTGAACGCGAGCGGAGCCGCGGGCAATGCTAGTCTATAACAAAATAATTAAATCAGGAATATTTTATGCAATTTCATATAGTCAAGTGCAGTTAGTCATTATAAATGTTATAATTAATGAAAAATGATTTTTTTCTTTGAGTTTTTAATACCATAAAATAAAAAGTTTACCCATTAAAAAATACCGCTGTTTTGAAAATCCGTAAATTAAAAACAATTAAGTTTCTAGATATCTCTACAAAAAATACAATCATCAAATTTTTTTAATATTTTGAATTTTCGAATTTTTGAAATTTATTTGGCTAATGCTGGCTAAACCTTAAAACATATACCAAAACAATGTACCAAAAAAAGTCCACAATAGCATATATCTTTCTTCTAAGGTACACTTACAATACCTACTTTTATTTATATGATAATAAAAACCAATTTTAACTAAATATTGTGTAGCTGTGATAACTTATTACTCGGCTCAACATTTAGGATATCTTTTACTACAAGAAAATCTTTCATTCCCACGAGAAAACAAAATAACTGGTTCTGCCGAGTCGTCCTTAGAAATTTTCATGTCTAACGCTGGCTAAACTTTAAGAGATACATCAAAACAATCTACTAGGAAATTGTAGGTCTTAATAAGGCCTACAGAAAAATTTGCAATAGCATAAGTCTTTCTCCTAAGATACACTCGCATTTATTGATATTTATGAAGGAACTAGGAACGCACCCGAGCGAAGCGAGGGTAAGTAACTATATTTTATATGGAAATTGAGTTATTCTCCAAAGAAAAAATTAATATACATAGCTGTAAAAGGAATGTACTATACTAGAAGAAGCATCATTTGCATGGGACAACCCTAAAAAAAGTAAACATGAGCGGAAGATTTAGAAAGGTAAACCTTATTAGTTTTTAGTATAAGAAAATCAAATAATCCTAAATCAGCCAAATCCATTCATTATAGCTAGATAGTACATTTTTTTAAATAATTATTTATTCTACTAACAACTCCACCTCGTTTTGTTAGGTTTCGCCCCTAGGTACGTTTTAACGATTAGTATAGAATAGATAGACTATAAATTATATGATATATACTATCCCTAGGCTCTAGCCTTCCTCAATAAACGGGATATCTAATGCAAAAAGAATTTTTCAAAACGGATTAGTAGATTCTAAAATTATCGCGTTCAACCAAACTTTATAATATTAGTATACATACCAAATACTACCGGTATGACATACCAAAAAGTAGTGTGGACTGAAGAGTTTATTTCTAAGTAAAATAAATACCTTCCTAAACTCATCCTATTCCTAAAATCATTACAAGAATTAATACTAACAAAAATACACAAAAAAAACAATCTGAAAGAATGTAAGTTTCGACCAAGCTTTGATTCCGTTTTCGGTTTGTAAAAACTTGTTTCGGTCGCACACTAATTTTACTCCAGAAGGCAGGAACTACATGCAACTGACCATAAACAACTTTTCTTCTTAATAAGTAAAAATGACTTTCTTATATAGTGCAGTTTTCTTATATAGTAAATGTGGCTTTCTTAGCTACTGCTACTGTATCGTTTCTAATAAAAAAGCTGCTTTATTTTACGCTGATACCAATTAGGTATTTATTAAAATTTAAAAAATATCAGCTCTGTCCATTTTGAACAAGACAGAAGAAAAACCAACCTTATAATTAGGCAAAAAGTATTATAGACGATGTTAAGTATAAAAGTAAAAGGAAATGGACCTCATCCCACTGATATAATTACACTAACTATATCACAATGTCGTCCACGTAGTATGTACATATTTGTCAAAGCAGTGTCGCCGTTAAAGCGTCCTCGAGTGGCTGTTAGCGACATCGGAGCTGCGCGTTGAGTGCAATTTGCTTCCTAGTGGACTCAAAGAGAGTGGTAGTTACACTCATTATCAAGTCCGTTCGTAGCTACTAGCTACTGTTCCTTCGACTCTATTAAAAAGAAATTTAAATTTTCCAACGTCAATTAGTCTCTATCATGACCTAGTTTTTCTTATTGGATGGTAGGCAAATACATGCCTCTATGTATTTGCTTTGTATAAGAAATTATAACACTCTCCTGCTTGTAGTCTTGGTATTATTAAATAAGGTGTATGTTGGAAAACCTCTATTAATATGAAAGCATGTAGACCGACCGACAATTTGTATTCAAGTGTATTATTATACTCAACTTAAATGAAGGAAATAAAGTTATGATTATAAATTACTAGCGACTCACCTTCGCTTCGCTCGGGTCGTCTCTAGGTAGGCTGATTCCCCATATAAAATTTCATCCCCATTTTTACCACCTTAAGAGATGATTTCCGGGATAAAAACTATCCTATGTCCTTCTCATGGTCTCAAACTATTTTTTCACCAAATTTCATCTAAATCGGTTAAGCAGTTTCGGAGCTTATTCGATACAGTCGTACAAAAGTTATGTTTTATACGACATCATCACGAATGTTTGAAATTTTCGGCTTTTCTACACGTATAATATGCACGTATTATACATATAAATCTTCCGAAACAAAATCTCTACATGATAGTGAAATTCTTTTAAAAATCCGTTGCGTGGTTGAGTAGAAGTTAGCGGAGAAACAGACGAAAAGAGTGACTTTGTTTTATGCTATGTATAGATATTAATTTCGATACATAATACATATATTCAGTTTATTTTCATATATATTATTATTATCTGATGTATCGTTATTATTCTTTGCAATTTATAAGTTCACGTACTACCGATTGTGTTAAAAAATATAAAATTAAAAATACCTATAGTACGTCTTATTATATAAGCTTTCTAAGAATACTTTCTTTATACTGGCTCCGTCCTTAGAAATTTCCGTGTCCCTTCTAAGTGCATTAAATAGAAACTTCGTTCACTGTTTAGTTAAGGATCCCAAGGCAATCCAATTACATCGATGCCTGCTCTTCCAAGACTCAAAGTCTGCACGAGGGCGTTTCCGCGCCCGTGCACTTTTCAAAGGACTTCGAGAGTTCGTTGCAAAGGTCCTCAGCTACCTTACACAGAAACGTTTCATTGAATGTTATATATTCATGTGATTTTCTTTTCTATTAAATTCTAAATAAAATAAAATAAGTTTAACATGCATATTTAAAACTCTTCTTGTTTCAGGAATTATATTTTAAATTGCGGAAATTAATCAATTATTATCATTCCATAAATATTTTTCTTTGTATAACGAACCATGTGAAACTACTTTGTAAATATAGGTATTTTTCATAATATTTTCTTAATAATAAAAAAAATTACGAATATTTGACACTAATAAAAAAACGATTTTTGGCGATTTTGACCAAAATACAAAATATATCCGCAAAAAAATCCGAAAAGATAGTTTTATTTAAAATATATATTTTTGAAGTAAAACTTCTTAAAGCGTGACTGAGGTAAGACAAATTATGTACATTGGAAAAATTTGTGTCGCGGAAGGTGAGTCAAATTTATTATTATTAATTTAAAACAAAAATATCGTACTTATATATATAAATAAATAATATAAATAAATAATAATTAAAAAAATTTACAAAAATTATTAATTATTTTATATAATTATTATATTAACGCTTTAATAATAATGATTACTTATATAAAATAAAATATATCACTAATAATTTCATAAAAAAATATTTCAGAAATTTAAAAAAAATCATAATATTTTGATTTGTTTCAATTTAATTGCGATATCTGCCACACCACCAAACGAGCACTAAAACGTATTCACATATAGACGAGCTGCTGCATAACTTTAAATTCCCTGCGAAACTGACTATTATGAAAAATAATTTCGAACATTTTGTGAATCTCATAACCGGGCTTTGATAATGTAGCTGGAACAAGAGTAAATAAAATCGGGTTCACGATACCACTATTCTCTTTGAAAATTAAAATTTTAATATACGCTGTAGGTGAGCTCGGTGTCGGATAAACAGACTTTAGAAATGTCAAGGGGCACCCGTGTGGAATTATACCCGCATCCTAGGGCTGCCTTTAAAGAATTAAACAATTTTGTAATAATATATCAATATAATATTTTTTTAATACAGCTCATATGGGTATCATTTTTATAATCAATATAATTATAATTGTGTTGACTCTATTTTATATTTAAGAACTTACAGATTACATTTAAGTGCATGCTTATCTGACAATTATTTATTACTAGCAGAACCCGCGGCTTCACTCGCGCTAAAACTATAGAAAAACCCTGAAAAAGTAGGTTTCATACAAACTTTCATACCCTATTTTACCCCTTAATGGGATGAATTTCGAAAAATGCTGAAACACATATTTATTTAATTGTATTGAAAAGCATTAATACCAAGTTTCAAGTAATTCTGATCATAAATATTTTTTGGTTTGTATTATAACGTGTATTCCCGTAGGAATGACATTATCTCCCCCAATAAAAAGTAGCCTGTGTCACTCTCCCTCCCCTCCAACTATCTCCACACAAAAAATCACGTCAACCCATCACTCCGTTTCGACGTGAAAGAAAGACAAACAAACAAACAAACAAACAAACAAACAAACACACTTTCACATTTATAATATTATTTAGTATAGATTACTTAATTACCAATTGATTATAGGAAAAAACTGAGAGTTGATGTGCCATGAATGAAATTAAACACGTTTTATTGTTATGTTTCTCAAATGCGTAACCATCGAAATTTATACGAAGTACTCTAAAAGAGCCCTTACCTTTCTTCACACATAGGTAAGTAAATTTTCACGCAAAGAAAACTTTCGAACCCTATTTGAAACTCAGCAGGGAAGGTGGAATGGGATTTTCTTTTGTTGTGGAAAAGAATGTGTAACATTTCTCGACGTATGTAGTATATGAAGTATAGGCACATAGTACTTTGCCCTCAAAGCATACTTACCTTTAGAGTAAAGGACTTTACTAAACAAAAAAATAAAGCTGTCCTGTAAAGCAAGAGTTGCTGGACGTAGTCAAGTAGAAAAAAGAACTTTAGACTGTGAAGACTGCTTTTCTAAAAAAGTAAATCGGAATCACCTTTGAGGTAAGATCTAATAGAGTTTAAATATAAATTAAGTTTGAAGACATCGCGTAACATACGCGTATAAAACAATAAATTTATTATAAAAACTTTTAACAAACTTTTAATTGTATATCACAGAATTATCTTTATTTAAACGACATAAGCTTTAAATAAAAGTAAATGCAGAGAGTACAAATTCAGAAAGCGAATTGATGCTGTAAACTTTTATTTCTTGTGTTTACACATTCATTTATGAAGAAATTTGTATTCCGTCTATACGATAGCCTATATGAAAGCTTAGCATATTGCCAGATAGATTTTAGTTTTTAAGAGTTAAACTTATTTATTCATTTATAATATCAATCCTTTCCCTCCATACAATTGGCACACTATTGATATATGTTTATGTTAATTACTATGATAATAATTATTTATCATAAATTCAAAATTCCATTCGAATTGATAAAGGTACAAAAGAGTGCTTTATTATTATTATAAAACAATACAAAGCTCAGTTAAAAGAACGAGAATCGTCATTGTCCTAAAGAACAAAGACTCGCGAGAATAAATATTCATGTAAAATGGTGAAAACATTTGAACGTGAATTCTATCATCCGATATTTAAATCGGACAGAAGCGTGCGGTCGGGCGGGCGAGAAGTTTCCTCGGGCGAGGCGAGGGGCGGGCGGCGGCGCGGGGGAGGCTGGGCGGGGGCGCGGGGGCTGGTAATTAGGCGGCCCGGCGGAGGCTGTATTGATCGCCGCGTATCCTAGCAACGCGAGAGATGGCAGCACAACCGGCCCTCGCACTGGGAACGAGCTTTTTGTTCGAGCTCACTCTAGGTGAGACCGTTTTGATATAATCGCTAACGAGATGATTCAATTCGATTCACCCGCAACATTCGACAGAAGATTATGATACGATTAGATACCTTGTGGCGGAGCTTCTAAAAGGATTCGGTATCTAGTACGGTATACGTGTAGGATATACTCGCATCGTAGGCATATCTATAAAATATATCGCTGTTTCACTGTTTGACAAAAGAGTGACAAAATTTAATACAAGCTTAGTGATGGCATATCTCCAACAAGATAGAGATGAAAGCTGTGCAAACATAACTAAGAAAATATTATGAGACGACGAACATATCTTACTCATCCGTGGAAGTAGCTGCACGGCACGTCTTGGTCCACGCCATCTCCTTTTACACATTATATGCAAATTCGTTCTACACCTCTAGCATTAAAAAATAAAGGTTATTTACTACCTTACAGACATCACATTTACTAAGATAATATCAACATCTCAGTCTAGAAACTTAAAAATTTACTATGGTTTTTTCAATTATGCAGGAAAAAAGCAAGTCGTAAGTTAATTATAAATAAAAAGTTAATTAAGCAAATATATTGCCTTGCTTATCAAAATACCTACTTATTATAAAGACAATGTTAACATTGAATCTCTCTACATATGTAAAAGATTTAGTATAAGAAAAAATATAAGTCTCTTGAAATATAATATACCAGTTATATACTTTTAAATATTTTCTAGGAGACATATAAATAGTAATTTCTTTGCAAGAACACGATATGTTGCGAGCGCTGAATGTCTTGCATATTTCTAGAATAGCATTTCCGGAAAATGTAATCATGTTACGGACCACCCTTCTCGAGTCGTCCTGCAATCTATTCAACATTATACAAAGATGCATGCCGCCTGTCGTATTCTTAAATTTTATTTTTATAATAACATAAAACTCAAGTGAACAGAATATTAATTGTGAAACCTCATTTTATATGGTACCTTTACTATTTTAAAACTCAATTGAAATTAAACTCTATATTATTTCACCGATTTCATAATGTCTTTAAATAACATTTGTTAATTTCTTTCGTCTAGTATCAATAGAAAATAATATGCATTTTTTCATTTCATTTTAATACTGTATGCGAATAATAGCGACTCTACATAAAGTTACATAAGTGAAGAAAAACAATTTTCCCAACAATTGTGCCGGATATGTTTGTGTTCTCGTTGGAGCGGCAAATTGGTACCTAAGAAGATCTAGTGTTGAAGCTGTTTCGAAATTTCTATCTCCGAGAACAAAGAACTGAGCGCTACCTTACTTCGAGAACAGTGTGAGTTTAGGCGAATGATGTTAGTAATTATTGCAATGCGACTTATTTCATTAAATGATTTTTACACATCACCTATCGATCATTATAGATATAAAAAATATAAACCAGCATAGAAGGTTTTTGTTTTGGAGGTGGATGTTTTTTATATTTTGGCACAAACACTTAATCAAAAAATCTATACACATAATAAAATTGTAACCAAGCCGAATCTGTACATTAAATATTTTTTTTTAAATCTTATTGAAATAGATATTATTATCGATACAGAGGCCGAATCTATAGTTTTTAGAATTTTTGTCTGTCTGTTTGTCTGTTACCGCATCACAGAAAGACCACTGGAGGGATTTCGATGAAATTTGGTATGGTGATAGCTGGTTATCCGGATCAACATATCGAATACTTTTTAACGCAGAAAAAGGTCTCATTTCTGGGAAAAAATACAAAAAGTGCAATGTAAGAATATATAATATGTAAAACCTAAGACTTTGGTTTTTGGTCATCTGAACGCGGGCGGAGCCGCAGCCAATGCTAGTAATATATAATTTATACTTCACAAAACATGTTTTCAACAGAAAACAAAATTAAAAATATTAATAATTAAATGATTCGCTAGACAAAATAAAAATGCCGTGCCGATATGTGTCCAAAACCTCGTAATTAAAAAACCTCCCCTTCGCTGTCAATGCCTGGGATGTCTGCCGAACTACCGAAAACCTTACAAAGCTAATTAGTACCTTCGTAGTCACGAGCGGCTATTTTAAATGAAAAACCAATATCCGCTTCTTTCCAGCAAACGACTTCAGCAAACCTTTTTTACTCAGTTTGCTATTTATATGCAATCTAGTCTAATAAGTGTGCACACTTTTTGACTTAGCCAATATTATTTACATTTTTAAGAATATACGTTAAAGATTCAGTTCATTTAATAACAAAAATATTATTTATACTTGTAAATACATATATCATAACGTAAAGCATTTTTTTTTTCATATCTATTTTACCAAAATATGATTGAAAATCTTTATCAATATCAAGATTTCTTATTATTTTTTGTTATTATCTAAATAACTAACAAAATATACGTGTCGAATTGAGAACATTAATGTGAATGTATGTATGGTTCCATTATGTGTGTATATCTATTCAGATCTATAAATAATAAATAAAGTAGCTATTAAAAAATACTGAATTCAAAAACATCATACTCAATCAACCCCTGTAACGATTATTCCTTTGTCATACGCCGAATCAATTCGCCGCTGTCCGATTTAGCTGGAGGCGTTTACGGCAACACAATGGGTATCGAACAATCGTCTACTCCGAAAGTAATTACTACACATCAACGCTGTCGTGTGCACTCGCCAACATGGCCGAATATACTTATTAAATAGGTACAAAGCAAGCAGGCGGCAAACAGCCAGCGGCTCTCCCTCCGCGCCGGGAATCAGGTGGCGAGAGGTGATGCAATTGACAACGGATACAATCCTAACTTCAACGTTTACCATGCAATTTCGGGCCGTATCTCTGGTGAGTTTATTCGCTAAAATGGGTCGCAGAGGCGGATGCGGCGGAGCGGGCGCGGGCGCGGGCCAGACGTTGCCAATAGTTACATCCGGGCTACGAGCCCCGGCCGACATGTTCTATATACCCACCTTACATACTCGATAGATTATTATATACTACGCTTACTTACTTATGTACTACAGTTGCACATGGTAGCGATCAATATCTAGCATTACACATTAGTAACTTAATCATCATTTAGACAATCAATGTTCGCCAGTATTATAAGAGAAATAAAAAAATACAGTTATCACAATCCTTATAATCATCTCCTAAGAAAATGACTATACATCACGATTGTGTAATTTTGGGTAAAGTTTACAAAAAATAAAAATTTCATTTACATTTAGGTATTTACCTATACCAAACTAAAACCTATATTTATATATATTTATAATTGTATATTTTGAAATAAATGCGACATATAATAAAATTCAAGATCAGATCCAGACTTGAACTTGCTTGACTTCACTTGACTTGAATAGCCGAAATATTGATAACTTTTTCTATAACGACATAAGCAACCATTAATAAAGGATTACTACCCTTAAAAGCTTGTATGGGAATCAATATTTTTGGGGTATCGCAACAAAAAAACAGTCCGGTGAAACTGAGGCAGGCCACTAGCTTTATATAGAGCTTAGAATAATTTCTATTACAATAAATTTAATATCTTATTTCAATTTACTTACAACGTCTACTTCGGAACGTCCAAACATATAACTGTACAACAGCAGTGCGGTAAATCCTTTGTGGAGTGAAATTGCTTTGAATCTTGCATCTGGTTAGTCGCTTTGACAAGGACATTTCTAACCATTAACTGCTCCGACTACATCCTAGATTTACCAACACAACGTTGTCTCAAATAACGTTTGCATGTTTAATCTACACTATAATATAATATATAAATATATAAATAAGCATTTTTATTTATATATAACCTCCTTTCTTTTTTCCTACACAGGGTAGCCCTCTTGACATTCTTTCGTCGTTCTTGACGATCTCGTATATCTCGTAGAGAGAGAGAGAGAACACTTATAGCATATTATTCTTCATAGTACATGAAATATTTGCAAACAAATATCTCATAATACTGGCTAATGTTAATACTTCAAATTCTAAGTGAATAAAAACACTTAATAATGTTTTTTTGCAAACATAATAAACGAAAAGGGTAGATTTATAGATAGCTTGGTTTGGCAGAGATTACTGCTTTAAGGCGGCTTAAATATTTGTTGAGATTAATAACTGTTTATGGACAAAGATAATAACTACATCGTTTCCGAAGCTCAAAATAAACAAACACTTCATACCATTATCAATGATTAACTCTATATTTCATAATAAAGAAAACTCTATCTAACCTTACCTTCATTTTTATATACTCAAGCTTAAACTGGTGGACTGGGTCAATATTTTTTTAGATAAATATTATTTTTTAAAGATAGACTACTTTCACAGACGCACTCTTTCATTTTAAAGCTAAAAGTAGTATATATATATCTATGTATATATATATATCTATGTATATATATATATATATATATATATATATATATATATATATATATATATAGTCAATTAGAAATAGAAGATTATGGTTAAGAATAAATACTAAATATAAAAAATTTGATATGATTATAATTATCAATCTACTCGTATACATATAATAAAAATTTTACTAATCGCTATCTGTACATGTAAGATATTTGAGAAAATTTTAATGGGGTTCTTTATTAACGCAATAGAACCCAAAACAATGATTTTTAGATTTTTTGTCTGTTTGTCTGTGCGTTTGTGCGCGCTAATCACAGAAACAGCTTAACCAATTTTGGGTGCGATTATCACTAATGTATTGTGATAAGCTCTTAGCATTTAGTATTTATTTAATTTCAATCGGTTCATGATAAAAAGTTATGTCAATTAAAAAAATCACCTATGGACGAACCCGACGAAGAGGGTGAGTCTCTAGTTAGTTAATATTTAGGTCACTATAATAATTCACAATCACAAGAATATTTTTTTCTTACGATAGGGAATGACTTTCTATATATCCCGAATACCGAACCTGTATAGTTTTCTTATGTCGATCAATCACAAGCATATTACTCGGAAACTATAGCTGTGAAACTACAAGTTATAAATGAAATTTAAAAATTGGAAATAATTCAATATATGTATGTATATGTAGTCATATACGAATTATTATTATTTTAGATAAGTATTTAAAAATAAGAACGATATTTGTTAACGATTTTTTAATTGCGTCGAGTTGGCTATAAACTTTTAAAATCGTAGGAATAATATAACCGACATACACTGTTCCTCTATTAACTTTAAATTATTGTGTGGAAAATTAAATAAAAAGTGTCTTCGACATAATATAAGGGACTTTATTGTTAATTTAATAATAATTGATCTTTTAAAATACTTGGCAAGAAAATAATTTTACAGAAGATATGTTGAGTAGTTTTTTAAATATAAAATATCTTCTTCGATTGCTTCTCCTTCGATCCTGACTCTTAAAAAATTTAGCCATAAATAACTAATATACTAAATCATAAAAATTTTGTATAATTTGTCTTGCAGTAGGTAATTGTTTTAAAAGTCTATAAAAAATATTCTTTATTGTTATGCATCTATTATTAACAAGCGAGTGTAACGGGGGTGTACTGAATATAATCTATATAATCCCAGCACAGAGCCGTCCATCATCAACCGTACGTAAGCGTACACGGGGACGAAGGGTCCAATAAATCATTAATAAGATTCACGACTCTCGTTTCGTTCAACCACCCTACACTCTACAGAAACGGCTTCGTTAATACTGAATATCACTCAATAAAGAAAACCTGTCAATTATTTCAACATTTAATTTTTCTTTTTATTACGTTAAGAGCTATTAGTATAATTAATATTTATTATTATCTAATAAGGTGTAACTGATTCATAACTAATTTGGTAATAGGTGGTAACCTTTAGAGAAATCATTTTAAATATACAATATTTCTATATTTTTTTAATTATAATAAATAATTTCGAATCTTAACTATGACCATTAAAAATAAATACATATACACATTATAAAGTAGACATATTAATTATGATACTTTTATGAATGCAAAATCTAAAGTCACCTTAAATTTCATAATAAGGACCATTTTTATAATAAAGCCCTTAGGTATTCATCTAAAACAAGAAAACGTTCGTGTGTTCCTGAAAGTGACGTTAAAAGAAAATAATTAAAAACCTTGTTAGTCTCAAAGCAATAAGAGGGCTTGGTAAAAGAGCGTCGAGCGCAGAAAATAAAACACAATCTCTGTGTTAGAAGCGCTCGGAACCTGTATAAATGCAGCACATTTCCAGGCGTCTGCCTCTTTATTGCCTGCCGTGAAAGACAAAAGAGCTAAAACTACGCCAAGGGAATAATAATAAGGAATTATCTCGTAGTACGATACAAGCGGCTGGACTTGCAAATTTAAATGACATACAGCTACGAAACATCTACAAACACTTTCACAAAATAAAAACTATTTAATATAATTCTCGATATCTATGCTATGAGAATAAAGTAGATAGTTTGAGGAACCCCTATTAACTCACCCCAAGCAAAAGAATACTTAGTTGTAGTAAGCTGACCGTGCTTTATGATGAGGGCAAACCAAGGGAGCCCAAAAAACTATCATCTTTATGAAAGGATATCAAAATATATTCGATGTTCTAGAATCGAATCATAAGAGTTCTCTTTAATCATAAATATTTTACAATATATTACAAAAGATATGTATTTTTTGATATTTTTCTAATAGCAAAACTATAATTTATATAACAATAAATACAACAATTCAAAACAAAAAACTCCCACGAATAGTACGAGCTCCGGATTGTAAATAATTCTGTAAACGTACAACCGAAAAGGTACCCACTACCCCATTTGAAATGGCGTCACGCGGTCTGGCAAGATGGCGATAGAACGGTATATTCGTACAAGTACCGACATTATTTACAGGCACGTTTATAACAGAGATCATGGTGTAATAATATTTGTAGTAAAATAATATTAGGTATATATCAGATCTTTAATTAGTATTAAAATCGGGTAGGTTGGATGAAATATCTCATTATAATAACATCAAACACTTTTTAAAAGAAAACGTTTTATGAGCAAAAGCAAAGTAACATAAAACCATTAATAAGCCTCTTACCCTATCCGTCTAAGTCAACATCGGTGTTCTCTGAGATGCGGCGGGGGGCGGGCGGCGCGGAGGCGGGCGGGCGCGTCGTCATGGTAACGCACGGGGGCGCGGACCCAAATTTTATCGATTCGGATACAGACAGCAGCCGGGTGAGCTTTAACCGACACTAGCACGACTCACCGCCCGTGTTTGCTGATTTTAGAGGTTAAAGGAGCTTTGACATTCGGCTACATGTACATTTTGTTCATTTTATGATCTTCACGAGATGTAGAGTAAATATAAATAATAAACATCTCATATCAAGTTATACTATAAATATCTCTAATATTAAATGTTTCTAGAAACCACATTATTAATATTTTAATAAAATATTTTATTTCAATGTAGATTAAAAAATATATATATTGCAATCTATTTGTCACTTCTCTATTATCTAATTGTCTAATAAAACTAATGAATAAAGTGAATAGTTTACTTAGTATATTATACCAAAAAATGAGATATTTTCTAATTTTTTGTTAAATACTTCTCTACATAATACATCTAAGTAAAGATATTACTAGCAACATAGCATTTAAGTCAAGAGTAAATTATAGGCTGTCAATAGTAAGAAAATAATAAAATAAAATTATTATTATTATTATGACCGAAGCTCATGTTTTTAATAATTTTGTTTTTTCTACGAAAATGCTAAAGTAAATATAGAATAGAAATTAATCCTGTTTCATGATAATATTCTAATAGAAGAAAAGATCATAAATAATGTGAATATTTTTTGAGAAAGCGTAAACACAAACACCGCTTCACCCTTATAGCATAATTTGAGAAAAAACGAGACCAGTAGGGTAGTTACTCCACAGCGAAAACACGACTCTCGA